GAGAGAGAGAGAGAGAGAGAGAGAGAGAGAGAGAGAGAGAGAGAGAGAGAGAGAGAGAGAGAGAGAGAGAGAGATGGGGTCTACCGGTGATGCACGGGCATGGAAAAAAGGGAAGCGAGTCGAGGGGTAGTCGGGTGCCATTTTTGTTTTGGTTGGTTTCGTTCGCTACCTCAAACATTATAACAGTTGTTGAGATTGTTTGCCCATATATTCATCCCTGTTATGATCCTGACCAATTTTGAAGTACACATTCATGAGAAAGTACAATGCCGTCCAATTGCGAAAAGAAATGAATGAACTTGAGAGGAGAGAGAGGGAAAGAAGAAGAAGAAGAAGAAGAAGATGAAAGAAAGAAGAAGAAGAAGATGTACACGAGCAAAGACCAATGAGAATTTCCTTCTTCTTCACCAACCACTCTCCTCCTCCTTATTTCCTCCCCTCTTGTTCAAACGAGAAATAGTTATAATAATGTTGAATGGCTGAACGAGAATCAATGGCTGAATTCATCTTCTACTGCAGGTATCACATGAGGTCCACCATAGTCATATCCACCCTTCTTCCTCCTTCCTCGAAGGCCGAGGCTATGGCGGACTACCAGAGGATTGCCCTGCTTTGCAAAGGACAACCCAAAGCAGCTATGGCTGCTCGAGCTCAGGCCGCCATGCCTGACTCTGCCTTGAAGCTTCTTGGTGTTGCTCTACGCCAATTGGGGCCTTCCAGATGCAGCGCCCACCAAGGTGATGAAGATGGCATCCACCGTAGCCAGGTAAGTATCTCTGGTGCTCTCCCACTTCCTAGTCCTCGTCTTCCTCCTCCTCGAGCCCGTGCTCCTCCACCATAGCCGCAGTGGAGAGCTGGGCGCTTCGCCTTCCTTAGCAGCTCTGCTCCAGCCAGCGCTCCAAGCAGTGTGTCACCAAACTTGCACACCGAAGAATGAGGACTACTCTCCTCCTGGAGATATAGCGGCCTGCTTGCCTCTTGGGCGGTGACTTCCTAGGCCGCGCGGCCTCCAAGCAACCAGTACCTCCTCCCTTTCGGAGGGAAATATCATTGCAGACTCTGATATTGCCCGTACAGGTCCTGGACTCAGACTGGTTGGACTGGTACCCGCCTAGACCTAGCCTACAACTACTGGGCCTCTAAAAATGCCAACTTTGTCTTCTTCAGCTCGGCCTAGAGTACCTGGCACGTCTACCTCTTCTTGGTGTGCTACCATCCTACCTGCTACTTGAGTGATTTTCCGCTGCTCCAAGTGTTGCGGGCCTCTTTCCCCGCCACTCGAGTGTTTTCCCCACTGCAACCCTCAATGTCACGGCCACAGGTAAGTACCGGCCCCTCGGGCCTCGCGCACAGTCAAGTACCCTTGCGGGTCACACACACACTCAAATGGACAAGCACTCAGACAGGCACACAGACCAGTATGCACACACACACTGAGACATAAAAAAAGTCAGCAACAAGCGCACACACCAGTATGCACACACACACTGAGACATAAAAAAAGTCAGCAACAAGCGCATGCATTCCATTGGGAAATCTCAGAAATCAGCTGTGTGTCTCAGTCCGAGTTTGGTGGGTCCTTACATCCCCAAAACAGTGTGTGTGTGTGTGTGTGTGTGTGTGTGTGTGTGTGTGTGAGAGAGAGAGAGAGAGAGAGAACCTCGCTCCAGTCCCGATATGTCCGAAATGTTGCATCCTCTGATCAGTTGGTGAAACTCAGACGAAACAGTTTGTCACAGCCTCTCGTTTGTTCTCTTCTCCCTCTGTGCCGGGCAGTTCTGTAAGAGTGTACCTGGGCGACGAAAAGTGCAGATACATGTCAAATGTTGTGTGGTAGAGTGAGGCCTGATGAGTGTGAGAGAATGTGTGTCACAGTGTGTGTGTGTTTGTGTGTGTGTGGGTGTGTGTGTGTGTGTTGAAATAAACAGAACCCCACAAGCAGCGTAACAGGGCATGCATACACGATTGCGTAAGAAGAAAGACCTCAATACTTTTGCATAGAACAATGCATACAACAAATCAAAGCACCCATAATTGGGGTGAAACCACGGACAGGAAGTCAAGAAGCAGTAAGGCAACAAGACAACAAAGTAGAAAACAGAACAAGTAACAGAAAAACACAAAGCGAAAAAAATAAAATAAAATAAAATAAAAACTGACGATAGATTGTTTCGTCGGAGTTGCACCGACTCATCAGGAGGCTGAACCCTCGACAATCTGTGGAACCTCCTTATTTGAGGGTTAGAGTCATGAACCCTTTGACCCTTGTTGAAGGCAGACTGTCCCCAAGCGGAACATAGCAGCGGGCAGCAAACCTGTGGAGCACCAGGCAACACAGTACAGGCAACACGGCTGCACAAAGCCAAAAACGACTGCAAGGAACGACATGGCACGCAGTGCAGCAACCGTGTAGTGAAGCACAAGGCAACACAAACAAAGCAACAGCACTGCCGAGAACGACAGGGCAAGCGGACCAGCAGGTCGGCAACCTTGGAACCGAGCACAAGGCACCAGCAACAAGGCAACCAACCTACAGGGCACACAAGCGGCAAGCACGGAAGGCACGGCCAGCGGATGAGCAGCCTGGCAGTGGAGCAGCAAAGCGCAAGGCAACACCAACAACACGGCCACACCGCACAGCGAACACATCAACCTGCAAAGAACCACATGGGAAGCAAGCGGGAAGGCAGCAGGGCAGCGGCGGAGCACAGACGAGGACGTCCACACATCCAACACGAAGCAAAGCAGCACATGACCTGCTCACATCACGATTGAACCCTGCAGACTGTTGGTTCCCACCACCCACTGAGCCAGGGAGTCACTCCGACGAACATCCGTCATCACCGACAGGCAACAAAGACATCCTGAACCGAGCAGCCCCCATAAGAGTGCAGTAAGCACTCCAAACGAGGAACCGCCAACTGTTTGGCACTACTTAAGGGTGCTCTGTCGGGCACAAAAAAAAACTTAGAAAACAATTAGGGGGAGGACAGACAACAGAAGAAAGACTGACAGACATAAAACTGATTTTGTGCGTGTGAGTGTGTGTGTGTGTGTGTGTGTGTGTGTGTGTGTGTGTGTGTCTGTGTGTACGAGAGAGAGAGAGAGAGAGAGAGAGAGAGAGAGAGAGAGAGAGAGAGAGAGAGAGAGAGAGAGAGAGAGAGAGAGAGAGAACCTCGTGTACATGCGTTGGGATGTAAGGCTGGGAAAGGCGGTCCAGGAGGAGAAAATGAGGAGGATGGTGCAAACTTTGTGGAGATGGGTGTCACCAGAATCTTAATCCTGCAGAGGTAAATCGAATGACACCCCCTGCTGATTTTGTGAACGGGGAGGGTATGCTTGTTCATCTTGCGGTTTGTTCTGACCAGGTGGGTTGCTTTTTAATATACCCTCCCCGCTGATGGACGAGAACGCTGTGAAAACCAACAATCCTAGCTCAACTGGTGCACCAATGAACTGTTGACCTGTGTTAAATTCCGGGCCGCCCGGTGGCCCAGCTTCCGTCCGGCAGGGGTCCCGGGCAGCCCGGCCGGTTGGGTCCCCCGGTTTGATGCCGGGTGGGCCCAGCGCATTTTTGCCCGGGGGGGGGGGGCGGAGGCCTGTTTCGACTTTTCTGGGCCTTGGGAGCCTCTCCGGCCCCCCACGCAAAATTTTTCCGCCGCGCGGCCGCTTCGAATTCGAAGAATCGAGCCGCTGCCCAGTGAAGTGGTCAAAGCATACTTGTGGCGCATCCCGTGCGCGGGGTCGCGGCACATGCGGCGCAGAGCGTACGCGCATGTACACGCGCACACGTGATGCGGTGCAGCACCAAAAAAAAAAAAAAAAAAAAATCTGAAGGACAGGGTGGGTTGGCCAAACATCCCCCTCGCTTTTAAAAATCACAAAGCAAGAGGGACAAACTCCGAGGCCACGCCATACCCCAAAACTGTGGGCACATGTCTATACAATGTATACATGTGAGTATTCCTAGTTTAATTTTGTACAGCCTCTTTTCCGAAGGGCCCCTACAGCTAATTAGCTAGGACCCAATGTGTAGCAGAGGCACACTTCAACCTTGCAGTTCGTAATCGTGGGCCAAGATTATATAGTCTGGATTCGAATTCAGGTCTGTGCATCTCGGTTTCAG